ATCTCTCTCTCTCTCTCTCTCTCTCTCTCTCTCTCTCTCTCTCTCTCTGTGCCCAGCCTTCATGGCATAGTTCAGCGTCCAAGTACGCGGTTCTGGCCCTGATGTGTACATAAAACTATCATGTGTTGATGACGCGGGTGCTGTCAATGCACAGGGAATTATGCATGAAGGTTCTTACGATGTTGGTGCAAGGGAGTTAGGGAGGTTCTCGTGGTCTCAGAGTTACAGTTTTGACCTCTGCTTGCACTCACTGTTGTCGGGAACAGGCATGCATTTCCTGTACCGTAATTACAGCCGTGTCAGTTGGTGAGCTGCCTAAATGGGGAACGTTTTATGTTCATTGATTCATTCATTCATTGGTTGATTCATTTATGCATTCCTTCCTTCCTTCTTTCATCCATCCATCCATCCATCCATCCATCCATCCATCCATCCATCCATCCATCCATCCATCCATCCATCCATCCACCTATCCATCCACCCACCCATCCATCCATCCATCCATCCATCCATCCATTTATTTAATATTTATTTATTCTTTGGTAAATTTGTTCCTTTAGTCTAAATGCATTCATGTATACGTTTATTCCACTGTGTTGCTCAAACTCTATTCAGAAAGGAGGAAGAGAGAGAGAGAGAGAGAGAGAGAGAGAGAGAGAGAGAGAGAGAGAGAGAGAGAGAGAGAGAGAAGGGAGGAAAAGAGTGAGTGAGAGAGAGGGGGGGCAGAAAAAGAGGCAGACAGGTAGACAGACAGACAGACACAGACAGACACAGAAACAGACTCACATAGAATAAGGGCACATTGTATTCGACACACAAGTCCATGAATTCTTCCTTTAAAAATATTATATATAGAGAACTGAAGAATCTTTGTCTCCACCCCTTCGGCCACCTCTTTCCCTCCCCAGCTCGCTTCCAGTGGGAAGAGTACGATCCAGAGATCGTGTCTGATGTGCTTTTCGCCATCGCCAACGTCATCAGCTTTGCCCGAACCACCCAGCTGATGCCGGCGTTCGAGGTGTTAGGTCCGCTGCAGATCTCTCTAGGGAGGATGATCGGGGATATCACTCGTTTTATGGTGCTATTTACTTTGGTGAGTGCTTTAAATTGTTTCCTTTCTGTAGTATGTTTTTTCTTTGTGTGCGTGAGTTATTTATTGTTGTTGGTTTTTGTTTCGTTGTTGTCGGTTGTTGGGTTGTTGTTTTTTGTTGTTGTTTTTTTTGTTTTTGTTTTTTTTTTTGCTTTTTTCTTTTTTGGGGGGGGGCTTGTTTCTTGTCTGTTTGTTTTGTTTGTTTGTTTTGATGATTTGTTTGTTTGTTTATTTTTTGCTTGTTTGTTTATTTGTTTGTCTGTTTGTACTTTTTTGTCTTTTAGCATTGGGTGGTCGGCGGGTGCTCCGGCGTGGTAGGCTCCTTCTGTCCTATCAAATATCTATTGTTCATATCTTTGCTCCTTCATTTTTTTTTTTGGTGATTTTTACTCTCTTGTAACAACTCTAATCTTCAGTATTTATAAGCTTATTGTGCTGCGAGTGCCGTAAAAGTCTTGGTAAAACTAAACTTTTGACGATTCAGGGGAAGAAGTGGGGGGGGGGGGGCTGATATGAATACTTATGTGCTTGCAGGTGTGGGATTATGTATTCAAGTAAAAGATAAAGGGGAATGGCGAGTTTATTGTTTATATTCCTAAACTAATGTTGCTATTCTCACCTGTTTCCTTTGCCTGTCTATCTGTTGTCTGTCCGCCTGTGTGTCTATCTGTCTATTTGTCTGTCTGTCTGTCTGCCCATGTGTCGGTTTGTCTGACTGCCTATCAGTCTATTTCCCTTTTTTATTATCTATCTATATCTATCTATCTATCCTTCAGTGTATCTGTCTGTCTATTTATCTATCTATCGATCTATCTTATCTGTTTATCTATCTATTTGGTGGCTCTCGTGCCTAGAGTTTAAGGCGTTGGCCTCTCATTCGAAGGTCCCGGGTTCGAATCCGGTTAGCGAACGAAAAATCTCGGGGGGCCTGTGTGCAAATTGCGCACGTTGAAGATCCCTTAGTGGTCTAAATTCAATAAGAGAAGGCTTCGGCCGCCACCCGGGCAAAAATTCAAAATTTTCTTCCAGCTGAAAAAGTTAATGTGTCCCACGTGCTCATATGACCTTATGCAGTTGCGAGCGCCGTAAAACACTTACTCAAAAAAATAGATTTATGTATCCATCTATCTCTCTATCTACCTATCTATCTATCTATCTATTTATCTATCTATCTATCTATCTATCTATCTATCTATCTATCTATCTATCTATCTGTCTATCTGTCTATCTATCTACCAATCTTTTTATATATCTATCTATCTGTCTATCTATCTATCGATCCACCTATCTATCTATTTAACCATCTA